TTCTCCCCCTTCTCCCCCTTCTCCCCCTTCTCCCCCTTCTCCCTCTTCTCCCTCTTCTCCCTCTTCTCCCTCCCTCCCTCCCTCCCTCTCTCCCTCTCCGTGGCCTGCCTGAAGTTTTCGTTTTGATACAGTACAGTTAATTGACTTCTTTTGCTGCTTCTCCTTGAGCTCAAGTCCAGGCTCCTGGGGATCGCCCCCATTCCTAGGACACCCGGGGGTCCCCAGCCCCAGGCCCGGTCTCTGTGAGGCCCCCATCCCTTTGCTCATGGACCCCGATGTGTCTTCGTCGGCGCCCGCGAGGGAGGGTGGTGAGAGCCCTGATAGTGACGTGGGCTTCGCTCTGGACCCGGCCGCGGCGGGGCTCTGTCCAGCGCAAGCTGTACCCCCAGCGGGCGTCCTGGCCGCAGGCTGTGTCACGGGTGCGGCCTGGCTCCTTCAGACCGATCTGGGTCCCCGCCTTTCCTGTGAGATTAGGGTCAGCTTCCCCGTTTCGGTTGCCTTGGTTTTAGAGGCGATGTCAGGGCTCTGGGAACTGGACAGTTGGTTTTCCTTCCCGAAACCTGCTCTCCCCTGTCCCCTCGCAGCGAATGTCTGGGTCACTCGCAGGCCGAGCCCTGGGGTCCCCTCTGGGTCCCCTCCTCTCTCGCTGTCACCTCCCTCAGCCAGCGTTGCGGGTCCCCGGTCTGGGGACGCCTGCCGCTCCCTGCCTTGCTGTGCCCTCTGCGCCTGTGCCCTCGGGGCCTGTGCCCTCTGCAGGTGTGGCTTGGCCTCCTGTGTCCTGCCCTGGCTGCTATGCTGGCCACACCCAGCCAGGCTCTGTCCTCTGCTTAGGTCGCCCTTCTCACTTCCCTCTGCTCCAGGGTCATTTCTGGACCTCTTGGACTCCGGCCCTCGAGCAGTGCCTGAGCCCCTTCCTGAGCCTCCTTCCCTCCCCTCAGGCCCCTGGAGCTCGCAGTGGTCACCTCAGCAGGCCACCGCTGCCCTGGCTGCCAGCGTCCTGGGCTCAGGCCCTGTCTTGCTCTGTGGCGTCCACAGCTCCCTGCCTGGCCTCTGAGACCCTGTGTCCGGTGAACAATGGAGGAAGGGCTCAGCCTGCTGCTTCCTCTCCCTTTCCTGGAGGAAACACAGTAGGTGACCAGCACCTCCACCTTCCTCCTCTGCCCCCAGGATGACAGCTGTGCCCTCTTTGGGAAGAGAGAGGTCCAGTAAAGACAAGGAAGAGGCTTCCAGTCTTTCCGAGATACAGTGGGAGACCAGCAGGGTGCTCAGTACTCCTGTGCCTTGGCCTCTTGTGCTGGTCTTGGGAGCCAGTGAAGTTGCTTGGAAATTTGAGAAAATGGAATTTTAAAAAATGTTTTTTACGGTACTGGAATTGAATTTAGAGCCTTTGCATGGAGCTATGTCCCCAGCTCTTATTTAATCATTATTCATTTTGAGACAGGGTCTGGCTAAGCTGCCCAGGCTGGGCTCAAACTTGCAATCCCCCTGCCTCGGCCTCTCAGAGTACTGGTCACAGGCTGCACCACTGCAGCCTGTTGGGAATTAATTTCTTGAATATTTTACTCGTTAGTGAGTTAATCTTGCTGTGGCTTCTAACAGAAATCCCCAACTCTTGGCATTTACTTAGGTAACCACCTGATACTGTAATCTTTTCTGCGAATGTTGCCGGATTTTGGGGTCTATGTTGCAACACCTGGAAGCAGAGCAAGCTCCAGTTTACTTGTGACTCTCATTTGAGGAGCCTTCTCCGACAAAAGCCAAGTGTTCAGTAGACTCTTGCTGGGCACAGTGCAGATCCACGCGGCCTCCACAAGGGTTTCCTGCTGTGTCCGCCTCTCCAGGCCCTGTCTCTGTCCACGGCACTGCAGAGCTCTGCTGGCGGCTGCTTCCTTCCTCCCACCGTCTGTTCCCCGCCCCGGCAGGAAGTGGAGCTCAGTCCTTGCTTCCTTAGCTGACTCCTCGGCAGACGGCAGACGGAACTCTGCACGGGTAGCGGGGACGGGAGTCTGTGACCGCTTCATGTCTGCAGGTGAGGGGGGCAGGTTCTGGGCCCAGCTGCCAGCAGCACGGGGGGTGGGGGGGTGGCCACCTCTGTCCGTCACTGGGGTCTGTGACCCCCAAATTCCACCTCCAGCCAGGCAGGCTTAGAGCCTCATTCAAGAGGACAGACAGGCTCACTCCTCTGGGAACTTCCTCTGTGTCCCTGGGGCAGCCCCCGGGGCGAGCGGGCTGGCTCCCATCCCTCAGTCTCTCCTTCCCTCTGCTCTGGGCCCGTGATGGAGCCAGGCAGACCCTTCTTCATGCTCAGCACAGTGTCATGCCACTGAGCTGCAGTTCCGGGCCCTGACTTGATTCCAACCTGGGATGGAGGTGTGGCCACATTTAACAAAGAAAAAAGTTAGATTTGTGTTTCAGATAAACAAGTCATTTCTGTTTCTTCACTGTATAAGTGTCTAAGTTCAGGACAGACTAATTGCTTTATTTATGCAGGATGCAGGCGTGACCTGCATGCTGGGCCTGCTGGCCTCCTGTCTGTGCACTGTGTGTTGCCATGTCTCCCCCAGGGCAGTGGTCTAAGCTGGGGAGGAACTGGAAGGAGGTTGAGAATGCGGGCTGTCCCTTGCCTTTCAGGGGCAGGATTTGCACCCAGAGATGGTGCGAGGCTCTGCCAGCGCCTTGCAGAGTCAGTGCTGCTCTGGACAGCCGGGCGCTTGTTTCTGGCTCCAAGTCCCCTCACGAGCCCCCGCTCTCATGTGAGTTCTGCCTCTCTCCTCTGCTGTCACCCCCAGGCTGCCTGAGCTCCATTCCTGAGAGCACTGGAGAGCTCCCCGATTTCTTCCTTTCGGTCTCATTGGTATTTCTGGGCCCCTGGAGTTTACTGTGAGATTCATCTCATAACAGTTCCACAGCCACGTGGCTCTGATGCCCTCCCACACCCACAAGTGTGAGCGGACAAACCCACAGGGCTTCCGGGAGCCTTTGTGTCGACAGTCAGGGTCAGGCCTGTGGGAGAGGCATCTGCCTATTTCCCTACTCATTTATGGCACTGGGGTTGAACTCAGGGCATCGCATTGAGCTGCACCTTTCAGTTCTTATTTTCAGAAAGGGTCTCACAAGTTGCTAAGTTGTCCTTGCAGCCCTGAGAATTCACATATGTCCTCTGACTGTTCCATGGCAGGACTTGCCTCTCACAGATGGCCGGATTCAGTCCGAGTCACCCGCTGCAGGAGGGGATGCAGGGCAGCCTGGGGGTGGGGGTAGCTGTCCTTGCTGTCAGCCTCTCCGGGCTTGCTGGTTCAGCTGTGTCTCTGGGTCAAGGCCAGGGCTCCCCTGTGCCAGGCTGTGCAGCAGGTTGGGTGTCTCGGGACAGGCTGTGCCTGCCCCAGCAGGCTGCAGTCATGCGTCAGCCATGAGATGCTTGCTGGCCTCAGCCGGAGCCTCTGGGTGCTACAGGTTTGTCGGTTGCCGGACCCGCCCTGGCCTCTGGCCCTTGAGCGTCGAGGTTGTGCCGGCCACTCAGCTGCTGTCTTCCTGGCTTCCCCCCCCGGGTGGGTCTGGCTCAGGCGTGAGGTCCTGGTGGGGCCCAGGCTGACCACGGGGTGCACTGCTGCCACAGGAGCAGGAACAGGGCAAAGCCACCTGCTGGTTCCCATGGAGCCGGTCAGGCCACCGAGGGGCTGAGGAGTGGTCAGCCCTGGGTGCTCGAGGAGAGAAGGGTGCACTGTTCCCTTGACAATGCCGTTTCGTGGACTGCAGCAGCACTGGGTTGAGTGAGCGACAGGAGGCCCCCAGCCCTCTCCATGAGGACCTGGGGACTCGAAGGCCATGTGGCCTGGCCCCCACGTCCGAGGTCCCCAGGGAGCCCTGAGTCTGCTGCTCCTGCTGGTGGCCACTTGTGATGTCGGGAATGGGAGGCTGTGTGGTTCTACTGCTCAAAGGAAGTGACTTCCATTTACTCATTGACTCGGCATGGAAGGTCGAATCCAGGGCCTTTACCCTCAGCTACACCCCTTGCCCTTTTGTAAATGGTATTTTTTAGTCTGAAACAGGATCTTGGCAAGTGCTAAGTTGCTCAGGCTGGGTTTGAACTTCCGACCCTCCTGCTTCAGCCTTCCACCACGCCTGGCGGAGGTGACGTTCAGAGGGCCCTTCCCCGAGGGCCACTATCTTCCTGAGTCCTTCTGAAGTGAAGGACAGTGGGCAAGGACCTTGTGGAGATGCAGGCCACGGGGATTTCAGCCCATGGCCACGAGCAGAGGCTTCAAGAGCTGAGCTTCCTGGCCTCCTGCGGTAGATCTCGAGTCGCTGCTCTGGGGACAGGAGGTGCTGGCCTTCGCGGTGCGCACGGCGGGTGCTCGCTGGCATCTGGGTTCTCCATCCTGTGCTCAGAGCTGGTTTCTGCCTCCTCTCCCTGTGTCCCTGTGTCTCTCTCCCTCTCTGCCTCTCCCCATCTTCATCTCCCTCTCTGCCTCTCCCCATCTCTGTCTCCCTCCCTGTCTCCTCTCTCTGTCTCGGTGAGCCCAGGACCTTGCTTTGTGAACTTCCTAGCCCTGAGTGCTTGGTGCAAAGCTTGGAACTGGCGGGTGAGTGACAAGAGGGAGACCCCTTCACAGACAGTGCTGCCTGCTGTATTCCTCGCATAGCTGGAAAGCTCACTGCAGTGCAGATCCTGCGTGAGGACCAGCGCCCTTGTTTCCTGTCAGGATGGATGGGCGGATGGACAGACCCCATGGGACCGGACGGGAGGGCCCTTGCTCTGAGCACTGGGGCCGCAGGGAGCCCAGGGTTGCCTCATGGATCATGCAGGACCTGGGTGAAGCACAGGCCACCGTGGCACTGTGTCCCCTCGGGTGCCCCAGCTTGGGACGCGGAGCTGGGCCTTGGCCAATGCCGCTGTGGGGAAGGCTGGCACCAGCAGGTGGGCCTCTGCCTCAGGAGGGTAAACTGAGTCTCAGGGCTGCTTCGTGGGGACAGGGTTTCTGGTGCCCCCTGCGCTCCAGCATGGTCCAAGTGGGCAGCAGGAGAGGCATCACACAGGAAGCAGCCGGCAGGCATCCCGGCAGGGCAGTCCGATGGACCAGGTTCTGGACGGGGACCCCGAGTCCACATGGATAGCCATGGCCTTGATGGGTTCCGGGCAGCGCTGGTCACAAAGGGGTTCTCAGCCACCCCAGACCCTGGGCTCTGTTAAACCCATCCTGGTGAGGCCACTCTGCAGCAGGGACTCGCATGCTATGGGCCTCACCCCACCATCTGCCTTCCTCGGTGATGTCCGCAGGTGTAGGGACTTGTCCCTGGCACCGCTGGATGGTGTCCCTTTCAGGCCTGCCTGTCGCCCTGCCAGGTGGGTGCCAGCCCCAGCGACAGCTGTGGAGCCCGAAGCCAGAGGGGCAAATGCAGCCTCCTTCGGGGAGTCGCTCAGGAACTTCCCATGAGAGCCGGGAGCCAGGCTGGCCCCTTGCAGGGACCAAGGCTGGGCTGGGACCTCAGACAGACACCCAGGGACTTCACAGTGCCCCAGCCGGAGCCCTCAGGGCTCTGAGGCTCCAGGTCCCCACAGGTGGGGGCGCCATGGAGAGAGGGAGGAGGCTCTCTGGCGGGGCTGGGACCCTGCTGGGGTTCCTCTCTGGCACCCTGCCCTTGCCCTTGGGCGACAGCTGTGCGCAGCGTCTGCGTGGCTGGTCCAGCGTGGGCCGGGTGAGGCTCACGTGTCGTTGACGTGGTGACCCAAGCCCTGAGCTTCCAGAGCAGTCGACCCCTGTCATCACGAGGAAGATGTGAGCCCCAAACCGAAGGCCAATGCTGGCCACAATACCCGAGGCCTTTGGTGAGGTGGACGATCGGTTCTGTCCCGGGTCTAGAACTGGTGGCTGCGGGAAACCCCAGGGCACACGGTGCAGATGGGGTGACACACAGCGGAGCCCACCAGTCTTTTGTCTTGCGCGCTATTTATTTATTTTTAATTTTTTGTGGTACTGGGAATTGAACCCAGGCTCTTTTTTTACTGTTTTGAGACAGGGACTTGCTAACTCACTAAGTTGTGCAGGCTGGGCTCAAACTTGGCAATCCTCCTGCCTCAGCCTCCCGGAGTGCTGGGATCACAGGTGTGCGCCGCCATGCCTGGCTCACGTTTTTAAATATGTCTCAGTCCCCAAAACAAAGTGTGTAGGACAAAGATAGAAAAACATTCACCAAAGTGAACATCTCAGCTTCCTGGGCAGTAGATAAGGAAGCGAGCTGCAGGAGGCTTGCCAAGAGCACTTCCGGCCCCAGCAGCTGACCACAGGCGAGCCCTGCCTCCCACTTCCGGATGCCCGGTGAGCTCTGGCCCAGCCCTCGGCCTGGTGCTGTAGAGGTGGAGGGTCTCCCTCCCGAAGCCACAGGGGCTGCCGGGCTCCCGGCCAGGTCTGTGGGGCGGGGAAGGCTGCGTGACCACAGGGGCTGACTCAGTCCTAAGTGTCAATGACTGACTTCTCATTCAGGAGCAGAGGGCAGCCCCTGACCCCACTGGGCCCAGCCTGGCCCGGCCCCCTGGGGGCTCGGGGACCTTCCAGAGTCCCCTCAGGGGACAAACGTGCCGATCCTGCTGGGCTGGAGGTGGCACAGGGTGGCAAAGGGGCCAGGCCAAGGGCCAAGCCCGCCCCCCCACTCTTTCCTTCCCTTCTCCCTCTCCTCCTTTCTTTCTTCCCCTCTTCCTTCCATGTTCCCACTTAATAATAACTTCTAAAATTTCTTTATTTTGAGACAAGGACTCCCTAAATTGCCCAAGCTGGCCTTGGGCTTGTGATCCTCCTGACTCAGCCTCCTGAGTAGCTGGGATTACAGAGGTGCAGTGCCACACCCAGCAATAGTGTCTTAACTATAAGAAATCACTTTGAGGGAGGGAGGGGAACAGAGAGAGATTAAAAGGAATTAAGAAATGCCATGTGCACATATCAACTCCTCATGATAATGTAATCATACTGCACTGTAAGCATGCACCAAAAAACCATACTATTGACCTATGTAAAAAAATCACTTGGAGATGTG